GGATTTTTACTGAGTCTCTTCTCTTAACTGGAAGCTGCCTTTTTTTCTTAACGAGATTTTTTGTTAAAGGGCACATACACTCGCCAGAGAGATAGAAAGCGAGAAATCACCCCATGGGGGGATGGCCATGCCACAGTCCCTTCTCATTCTCCTCTCGAGATTTTGGGCACGCACGCACACATGACCTCTGTGAGTTTTAAGCCGCTGGATCCGGGACTCGAACCACGGTTGACTAGTGGTGTCACCATTACACCATCTGTTGGTCCCTCTGTCTTTTTTGTTGTTGTTGTTACAGGGCATGTGCACTTGCCAGAAAGAGAGAGATAGAGGGGCCAGCAGGTGGCATGGTGGTTGGGGCTCTGGACACACCCACATGGCAGATCATGGTTCGAGTCCCAGACCTGGTGGCTAGCTTTCTCACTTTCTCTCTCTGTGTCTCTCTCTGGTCAAGTTAAAATAAATGAATGAGTAAATTAAATTAAATTTTAAAAAAGTTAAAAAAAAAAAAAAATTTAATTTGGGCCAGCAGATGACATAGCAGGTATGGAAAGGTGAGAAATCACCCCTCAGTGGGGATGGCCATGCCATAATCCCTTCTGCATTCTCCTCAGGATTTTGGGTAGCACACAGACACACACACACATGCCCAGTGTCATTTTCAAGCTGCTGGGTCCAGGACTCGATCCGCGGTCAGCCATGTGGGATTCTAACACCTTGACCACCACGCCAAGTGCTGGCCCATGGGAGCTGCCTTTTGAAGCCCAGGGAGCATATAGGGCATCTCTGGTTTGTACGTTTCCCTCTCTTGGTGTTTTATTTCTTAAAAATAATTACTTTATTTAACTTTATTTATTTACTTATTTTAATTTGACCAGACAGGGACAGAGTGAGAGGGAAGTGAGAAAGCAAGCCTCTAGGTCCAGGACTTGAACTGCAGCCGGCCACATAGAAGTCCAGCACCCTTAACCACCACGCCACCTGCTGGCCCCTTGTTTCTGCCTTTGGAAAGATTTCTGTATAAGGTGCATGCACTCACCAGTGAGACAGAGAGAGTCAGAGAGATAGAAAACGAGAAATCAGCCCCCAGGGGCATAGGCCATGCTGCGATCCCTTCTCCTCCATTCTTCTCTCGGGATTTTGGGCACACATATGTGCCCAGTGTCAGTTTGAAGCTTCCGGGTCTGGGATTTGAAGCACAGTTGACTATGTGGGAGTCCAGCGCCTTACCCACAATGCCACCTGCTGGAGCCCGGTTTTCCCTTCTTTACACCAAGGAGTCTCCTGCCCCACAACACACCCACTTTGCATTCTTAGCGCAGGGTCGGTTGTGGGGTAGGAGTGGTGACATCCTGCCTGGAGTTGTACGTGGGCCCTGCAGGGCCTGGAACATTCTGGAATTTTTCACCGTGCTGTGCACCTGCCTCGATGCAACTGTGGCCAGCAAACAAAGACAATGAAATGCAGGAGAAGGTGGTGGAAGTAGTCAGCATCGGGCTGGCAGGTGGCTTGGTGGTTAAAGCACTGGACTCCCACATGGCTGACCACGGTTCGAGTCCCAGACCTGGTGGCTTGCTTTCTCACTTTCCCTCTCTCTGTCTCTCTCTTTCTCTATCCCTCTCTGTCAAATTAAAATAAATAAATAAAATTTTAAAAAATATAGCAGTCAGCATCTCTGCCTCAATTTATGACACACGCAAACCATGTTTTCAAATATTTAGAGTCTCTGAGGGAATGACATCACATTTATCACACGGGGATTGTGCTTTATGGTGGAGGCCCACCAGAACCCAGGGCGTGACTCGTCAAAGGCTCAGGGCAAAGTCGGCTGCAGAGGGGAAAAAGCTCTCCAGAATAAACCGAGCACCAGCTCAGGGGTGGGTGGTTACCAATGTGCCACTGAGTGCCAGTTGGCTCTGCATCTTAAAATGCAATCTTCAGGGACCAGCAGTTAGCGTAATGGCTATGTCGCTGGACTCCCACGTTCGCTGGACCACGGTTCGCGTCCCGGACTCAGTGACTTAAACTCATGCCGGGCGTGTGTGCCCAAGATCCCGAGAGGAGAATGGAGGAGAAGGGATTGCACTGTGGCCCTTGCCCCCACCCTCCCACACCCGGGGAGTGATTTCTCGCTTTCTGTCTCTCTGTCTCTCTGTCTGCCTGGTGAGTGCACATGCCCTATAGCAAAAACCTCTCCGCCTCCCCCCAAAAAAGAACCTATCCTTTAAATACCTGTAATCAGGGCCAACCAGTGGCATGGTGGTTAAGGTGGCCGAATTCCACATGGCCAACTGCACGGTTTGAGGGCCAGACTTAGTGGTTTAAAAACCACACTGAGCGTGTGCATGAACATGCCCCAAATCTTTAGAGGTGAATTGAGGAGAAGAGATTTGGGGCATCTCCTCCAGAGTAGGGGTTCCCGAGGGGTCAGGGAGTATAGTGCACATGCCCTTAAAATATTTTTATTTATTTATATATTTATTTTAATTTGACCAGAGAGTGAGAGAGAGAGGGAAAGTGAGAAAGCAAGCTGTCAAGTCCAGGACATGAACCGTGGTTGGCCATGTGGGAGTCCAGCGCCCCCAATCACCACGCCACCTGCCGGCCCCCATGCCCTTAAAACATTAAAAATTAATTAATGGATTAAAACCTCTGGGACCAGCAGGGAACGTGGTAGGTCTTGTGCTGGTCTCCCCTACATATATTTGCGCATATAGATATATTTAACCGAAGTTTTTATTGTAGGGCCGTGCGCTCACCAAAGAGACAGAGACAGAAAGCGAGAAATTACCCTCCCCTGGGGGATGGCCACGCCCCCAATCCTTCTCATACTTTCTCTTGGGATTTGGGGCACGCATGCACATGCGCTTGGTGTGAGTTTTAAGTTACCAGGTCCGGGATGGCAGCTGACTATGGGAGTCCAGTGACATAACCATTATGCCATCTGCTGGTTTCTCTCTCTATATATATATATTTTTTTAAATAATTATTTAACTTTATTTATTTTCATTGTATTTTATTTATTCATTCATTTATTTTAATTTGGTCAGAGAGGAAGAGAGAGAAACACACACAGAGAGAGAGGAAAAGTGAGAAAGCAAGCTACCAGGTCCAGGACTTGAACCGTGGTCAGCCATGTGGGAGTGTCCAGCACCTTAACCACCATGCCACCTGCTGGTCCCCTGTATATTTTTAATCTCTGTAAACAACTTCAGAACCTAAGAGGTCTTCTGGGAAGGTGATATTGAGAGTGGAGTATCCAACAGGGAAACATCCAGGAAGCTGCCACAGGTGGCCTGGGGTCCCCAGAACCAGAGGCCAGGCCAGGGAAGGAGCAGCCCCGAGCTCAGGCCCATTGCCCTCTGTGTGTGCGTGAGTACTGAGTACTGACGACTGAGTACTGAGCCCCCTCCTCCCCAGGAGCATCCCCATCGTGCAGCCGCTGCGGACCACGGCCCTGACCAGCGCCTGCGCGGACCACTCGGACCAGCGCGTTGTGTACCTGGAGCACGTGGTGGCCCGAGTCTCCATCTCGCACCCGCGCCGAGGAGACCTCCAGATCAACCTGATCTCTCCCTCGGGAACCAAGTCTCAACTTTTGGCAAAGAGGTGAGGCCCGGCTGGCCCCGTGGGGCGGGAAGGGAAGGGATCACACCAGCCACTGCACATAGGGCCCCCATTTAAGCTCCACCCACCACGTCGCTGGAGGGCACCTGGCACCTGGGGACCGCTCCGCTGCTGCTGGTAGCTTCCTCCCCTACGGAGGGCATCTCACTGAGCTGTGCCCCACAAACCTGGAAAACAGTTCCCCGAAACTCTGCCTGCCAAGGGTCCTAAGAATTTCGGTTTTCAGGAGGAAGTAAGAAAAAATGTGTTGTTCTTTTTTGCCTTGCCATTTGGTGGGGAGTTTGGGGAATCCTGGCAATGCTCTTAGAAGTGTTTTGAAATTGGGACCAACAGACAGGATAGTGGTTATGTCGCTGGATTTGCACATGGCTGACCGCAGATCGAATCCCAGACTTGGAGGCTTGAAACTCACACTGGGCGCGGGTGCATGAGTGCCCAAGACCCTGAGAGGAGAATGGAGGAGAAGGGATTGCGGCATGGCCATCCCCTTAGGGGGTGATTTCTTGCTCTCTGTTTCTCTGTCTCTCTCTGGCAAGCACATGTGCCCTATAGCAAAAAATCTCTCTCTAAAGAAAAAAAAGAAAAAGAAGTGTTTTGAAGATTGGGGCCAGCAGACCATGTAGTAATGTGTCTAGACTCCTCTATGACCATGGTTCAAGTCCCGGACCTAGTGGCTTGCTTTCTCAGCTTTCTCATTTTCCCTCTCTGTCTCTCTCTGGTGAGTTAAAATAATAATAGTAATGATAAATAAAAATGAAATAACTCCTCAAAAAGAAAAAAAAAAAGAACTATATTGAAGATCTTTTTTTTCCTGTTTTATGTTTTTGTCATAGGACACATGGGTTCACAGATTCAAACACAGAGACAGAGAAGGAAAGTGAGAAATCACCCCCAGGGGGCATGGCTATACCACAGTCTCACCTCCTCCATCCACCTCCTAGGATTTGGGGCACGCACACCCACACACCTGGCTTGATTTTCAAGCCACCGAGTCCAGGACTTGAACCGGCGTCGGCCCATGGGAATCCGACGCTTTAACCACCACACCACCTGCTGGCCCCAAAAGTTCACAATGCGAGCCTTTCTGGAAAAGCTGGAAATGCCCCAACATGAGGCCTACACTCCCTATGCACGGGCCCAGAGCAGGGTCAATGGGTGAGTCTGACTCTGTGTCCCCAGGCTGCCTGTCCTGGCCCCTGCCCAGTCTCGGGTGCTCGTTAGAGGGATCTGAGTTTGTGACCCTCTGACTCAGAGGCCCAGCTGGTGGCCTGGTTGACCAAGAGCCTGTGGGAGGCTTAGCGGCTTAGCCGCAGGCAAGCAGGGTGGCCGTCACCTAGCAGTGACCCGGCAGCAGGCTTCGGAGCCAGGAGAGTCAAGCTCAAAGCCCAGCTCCTTCCCTTCCCAGCTGGACTCCCAGGACCTGGTCACTCC